TACGATGCACAATGTGTATTATAAAACACGTATCATTAATGTATATAAGATTTGTTTCTGATCTCTTTATCTAGTCACTTCGAGCCAGTCACTTGTGTTTCATTTCCAGGTGGAGTTTTTGCTTTCCGACTGATCGCTTTATTAGATTAACGTTATTTATGTTCATGCTTTCTAGAGTGTTGTCTTTTTGCTTTTAGTTATACCTAGTTTTTACTTGTACAGCAAGGTGAACGTTATTTTTTTTACGAACCGAACTCGTTTGAGTTTTGCTTTCTTTACTTTGTTGCCTGTATACTTCCAAATCCTCCTGCCATAACACCCTTCTATCCTTCCAGTTTCAGCCACAACTTCCAATCTTCCAGCTTCAACTATATTTTCCAACCCTCCAGCTTTAGCTGCACCTTCAGATCCTTCGGCTTCAGCAGCAACTCTCAATTTTTTCATCTTCAGCTACATATCCCAATCCTCTAGCTTCAACAACACCTCTCAACACTCTAGCTTCAGCCATATCTCCCAACCCTCCAGCTTCAAATTTAGTTGCATCTCCAAATCCTCCAAATTCAGCAGCAACTTCCAATTTTACCGCTTCAATGACACCTCTTAACTCTCCAGTTTCAGCGACATCCCCCAACCTTCCAGCTTCAACTGTAGCTGCACCTCCAAATCTCCCGGCTACAGCAGCGACTCCCACATCTTCCAACCCTACAGCTTTAGCTCCACCTCCCAACCCTTCAGCTTCCATATCCACACTTCGCCTTTGTTCATGTACACTCAATTCATTATACTAATTAATACACTGTATGCCATCGGCCATGAGTATGATGCCTGATGTTGATATTTACGTTAAATACCATGAATAATTGTTGTTTGTTTTGAAACTAAGTTTTTGTTTAGCATTACAGAGAACAGCGAACATTTTGTTTAAGACGATCGCTATTTTTTCTTCATATATACACACATATATATATAATGTTAGACTTATAACAGTATTTATACGCATATTTCAGGGTTAAATTTATGGAAAGTTCTATATATATTGCGCGTTTTCTGTTTTACTTAAGAAGTATATAAACACTGTGATTACTTACTAAGAAGTGAGTTAAAATATCAGTAAATTTTTCCTGATTAGATGTGGTTCATAATCAGTGTTAAATTTTCTGATTTGTTGTTTTCAAAGAACCAATTATTTGTTTCATGTCTTGCCGATACCTGATCAGTGACTTCTTAACAAAGAAATGCAAGAAATAAAAAACAAAAACGAAACGGATGCGTTAGAATTGGGTAGAAGAAAGAATTAGACCCATTTTGTTGTGGGTCATCAGTTGTTATTTAATTTCCGAGGACGATGATGAATGGCTGGTTCTCCCCTTCTATAAAGACGTCAGAAATGGCGGAGGCGTGTTCGTGCATTTGAAATGAGCATCATGCACTGGCCAGGTGTAGCCAAAGGCTCACAGATCACCAGACGCAGCCATGTTTTTATGCAGGTACTTCGATCAAACATACATAGAAATAAGTTCTTGATTTATATTTTCACAAAACCGTACGTCCACTATCTTTGTGAAGAAATAAGTTTGCAACAAATATCACGTTCGTGGATGAAACTTCATAGATATCCGGATTAGGCACGTGGATCATGAATGTTTATATCTACACATTATTCTACAGTATACACGCTTTCTGCCTTTAACGGCATCTACAGCACACTAAGTAAATTGCGAAACTGAAAATTCTATCGTACGTATTATTATTAAATCCTGAGATAGAACAGGTAAATTATTCAATTTAAAAATTATAATGTAAAAACTAGATAAGAACGATTCAAGTTTAGAAACTAGAACGAAACGTTTCAATATAAAAAGTTGCCTTCTTTGTGTGCCACAGAAAGGTCATAAGTGTAAGTATCCGTTTTAAATGAGTTTTAGATGAGCATAGTGTCATTTATGTAAAGACAACTTAAGACAATAATGCCTTCATTAATCATGTTTAACTAAATACCTAGAACTTACGGAACTATATAATGGTGTATTCTGTAAGTTGGTATATTTAAAGATGTTTCATTATTTTGTATAATTTTGGAGAAATGGGGTTATTTTTCTAACAAAATATTATGGCTGATTCTCATATTGAGCTTTCAAATTCAAAGACTGGACGGAATAATAATAATGTTGTTGATGTTTATAAAACTCGGAGAAGATTTAACGGTCTTTAACCACAAGAACGACATCGTGACCGTGTTTTACCCCTTAGCAGTCCCTTGTGCTTGTACCGCTACCTTTTCACAAAATATTTAAGTAGTAAGCACCTCCTGATGCGTTGCTAACGTAATGGTAGTGTATGTCTTTAGGGCAAAATGGGATTCAGGCGTTGCTAACGTAATGGTAGTGTATGTCTTTAGGGCAAAATGGGATTCAGGCGCTGCTAACGTAATGGTAGTGCATGTCTTTAGGGCAAAATGGGATTCAGTTTTTATAGTAGAATTATGTAAATAAAGCAACACTGCAAATCGATTGTTTTATGCCTAACGCTGTTTTTAATTATTGTTCTGGTAAATGTTTTATGAGTACTTTAAAGAAATGCATAAATAGAAACCAGCGATAAGTTGTTGTTTAAATGTTTTCGATCCTTCGAATAACGCCCCCCCCCCCCGTGGGACAGCGGTAAGTCTTCGGATTTACAACGTTAAAATCAGTGGTTCGATTCCCCTCGGTGGACACAGCAGATAGTCCCATGTGGATTTTCTATAAGAAAACACACAAGCCCGCGAATATCCATCAGCATGACTTACCTACTTCAACATTCACTAATGTTCTTGCGTTTTTCGGGTAATGGAAAATGATAGAAGGTGCAGATGTGCATGGAAGGAGTTAGTTAACTCCACTACGTTGTTTCAAAGTAAAAACCAAACTTGTAGTTTTACAATATTAAAATACACTCATTGTGATATATAGAGGTTTTTTTATGTCCTTACTCATACCAATTACAAGAAGTATTGAAGATAGAAATTTCTTGACCATGCTTCGTTTATAATTTAATCGATTTCGGGTGTTGGTGGTGTGATTGATGGTGTGATTCTGTGAAACAAGTTAGCCCAGAACATTTTGTTAATGACTATCTTCGTTGAATATTGCGGTTTTCTGTAAACTTCTGAAAAGAAATTTGCACCAATTGCTATATTCTGGCTGGTATGTTTGTTTCTGAATTTCGCGCAAAGCTACACGAGGGCTATCTGCGCTAGCCGTCCCTAATTTAGCAGTGTAAGACTAGAGGGAAGGTAGCTAGTCATCACCACCCACCGCCAAATCTTGGGCTACTCTTTTACCAACGAATAGTGGGATTAACCGTCACATTATAACGCCCCCACGGCTGAAAGGGCGAGCATGTTTGGTGTGACGGAGATTCGAACCCGCGACCCTCAGATTGCGAGTCGAGTGCCTTAACCACCTGGCTATGCCGGGTCTGTATGTTTTGGTTGATGTATTCTAGTTAGTATCTTCAAGTCGATATCTTCTAGCTGCTATATTCGGTCGATATATTCTAGTTGCTATATTCGG